CTTTAGAATCTACTTTTGTGATTTACAATATTAATTGCAGTTTTTGAAAAGTAGTTTTGGAAATAATGTCCTGATTGATTTGGACAGACTGTTCAGGTGAACCAAAAATATGTAGTATGTAGAATTAGAAAGGCAAAAATTAGTTTCATCTTTTTAATCCTTCTATTTCTCTTTACCAGTGATAGGATTTTTAAAAATCCTCCTTCATCCTGATTTCTGTCCTTTGGTTCTACTCTGGGGTATATTCTGACAGTGTCCTTCCTAAATTGGTTTTTCCATGAAGCATATCTGTAGTATTATTGATTCAGTTTAAGCCATAGAGTAACCAGAGCTTCCAATCCTTTTACAGTTATCTTGAATTTGTTTTGTTATTTGTCCTAGTTATTTCACCTTTTCAAAGATTTTGTTTTAATTGAAGCCATGGAAACATAATTAGAGTGAAGAAGTTTTGTCTTCTTGCTATCATTTATTAACATTGTTATATTCCTTAAGCAATAAGGTTCATTTTTGTTACTATTATTTTGTTTTCTTCTTTCTTTCATGAGACGTTATTTATTTTCTTTGACAGCTTTTATGAGACTCAGTGCTTTCTAAAATATATTCTTCAGTTTTGTACAACTGGGTTTGTGTTTTTCTTTTTCTTTGTTAAAAATCTCTCAGAGATCCCTTTTATACTTTTTTTTTTGTTTCTTTAGATGTCTTTCCTTTACTTAATTAAAAGTATTTGACATTTGTACAGTCAGAATATCAGGTTTTGTTTCCTGTTTCTCTGGAGAGTTTTATTTCTTTTTATATCTCTCTGTTTATATTTTCTTCTGTATATAATTTTTATATTTTATCTTTAAAAGGTATGATTTACCTTTCTAATTTGTAACTTCTCTTTTTCTTTTTAATGGGCTTCAAATTTTCTTGATAAAGTCTAACTGAACATATTATGTATCCTAAAAATTATTTTTAAAAAAGAAATCTAAATAGTTTCTTCAGCTTTCCAGTTTTTCATTTTACTAGCTTGTTTTCTTTTTAGTATATGCCCAAAATATCTGATTTTTTGATTTGTATTGCGATTAAAATATATAATGGCTGGGGCTGGATTTGTAGCTCAGTTGGTAGAGTGTTTGCCATACATGTGTGAGTCACTGGGTACTGATCCTCAGCACCACATTAAAAAAACAAATAAAATACAGGTATTGTGTTTGTCTATAACTAAAAATGTATATATATTTTTAAAAAGCATATAATGGCTAACTCAAGTAACTTCAGTTTGTTTTGTAAAACTGTTTTATTCAGAATTTCTTTAATAAGAAGGCAGTGAAAGCTTATATTTATTTTGTAACCACATTAGTCAAATTTTTAAATCATAAGTGTGAATGTAAAAATACATTTTTAAGACACAGAACACAACATATCTTTAAGATGCAATGATATAGTACAGACTGAAAATGATTGTATATTTAATGTATTACATTTCTGCATTTTTCTGGACTTCTGGGTTGAATAACATGTCTGATACAATGATGTCATGGTACAATACCTTTTTCCCTTTAGATGGACACTTTTGTAAATCCACTTCGAAATTCTATGAGGAATGTTTCAAATGCAGTTAAATCCCTTCCTGATAGTTTGGCAGAAGGAATGACTAAAATGTCAGACAACATGGGCAAAATGTCAGAAAGATTAGGTCAAGACATAAAGCAGTCATTTTTCAAGGTAAGAAGATACTCTCAGTAATGTATAAAACAAACTATTTTTAAGTCAAGTAAGATGTATTGAATTCCTTGCATAGATTTACCTTATTTTCTTTCCGAAGTACTTTAGATATATAGTCTTGTAAATAAAAAGCAACAAAGGAAGTTTGTTTTTTTTTTTTTTTTTTTACCAGAAATGGATGCTGAAAAATCCAGTCACTCATCAGTCTTTGCTCTCATAGACATCTAAAACCCATTTAAAACAATATGTAAAATTAGTAAAGTTGCTTTTTTAATTATTTCATTATGCAAATCTATAATACTATAAATCCTGTAGCAAACAAGTAAATGTTATTCATAAATAAGCTACACTAGTATTCTCTCAGGAAACACAAAATTTATAGTTTCTCCTGATTCATATGATGGAGCGATGATCAGCTCTCAGGGAGGAAAAGTCTTTATCCATGTCAGCTTCTGGGTCTGTGCAGTACTGTGTACATTCTTCCTAATGGCACCGAAGTTTCCCAGGAAGCGTTTTCATTACGTTAGCAGATCAAGCTACTGGACCAAGTAGTTTGGTGCATTTTTAATTTATATTTTTAAAATAATTTTGATATTCTCTTTAAGATTATAGTCAAAGCTATTAAAAATCATAAAGCTATTAGAATTTTCTGTTTATTGGTCAGGTTTGAATGAAGGGCAAATATACGTAAGTATATATTCTTTGATATAAAAGGCAATTTCTAAAATAGTGTGGGTAAATCTTTCTTTTCTATCAATTCTTATGCTTCTCATAATGCTCCAGTTTTATTTGTAGTGATGGAAAATATACCAACACTGAAATGAGTAACAGTACTATTTCTGATGCCATAATATTTGTGACTTTGTGCTAAAGTCATAGAACTTTTCTAGGTTTTTTTGGTCATTACCAGAACTTCCAGGGGTTAAAATAGGTGATTATAATGTTCCTTTGATGCTGACAAATGATTTTCGACTAATATGGTTCTTTCTGTTTTCTGTCCTCTTAACTTATGTAACAATGAGTTAATTCCTTAAACCTATTAACATATTATCAAGAGCTTTTTATGGTATAAGCAGATTAGAGTTCTGTTCTCTGGCTATGCTCCTGTTTAGTTTTCCATTCACTTAACCTCTAGTAGTTTTAAATTCTTCTACAAAGTGTGAATGTTTGACTAAGTAATTTCTCCTTCCAAATTCAAAAGTCAATTCATTTTTAAAGAAAAAAAACCTTGGGTAATGAAATAAACATTCTTTTATATAGGTCTCCCATTCTAAATTTTTAAAATGCTTATATATTGTACCCAAAATCAAATCAAATGGTGGTATTTGTTTTGTTATTATGTTGTGTTCTTTCAATGCCTACTTTGTTGTGTTTACTTTTTCTTTTCTTCTTTTTTTTTAAATGTTAGGTGCCTCCTTTAATTACAAAGACTGATTCAGATCCTGAACATTGTCGAGTCTCAGCTCAACTTGATGATAATGTAAGTTAATTTTATTCTTGGTGATAAATATAATAGTTGGAATTCACACTATACTTGGCAGATCTTAACTTTTTGATAAATATGTATCATTCATATACACATATTGTGTTAATCTTGGTGAATTTTTAAAAACTATACATGTCCATGTAATCTTCACTGTAATTGAAATAATAAAAAATTTCCAGTACTCCAGATTGGCCCTTAAACTCTCGTCTTCACCGAGGATAATTTCAACCCCTAACTTTACCATGCCTTTGTGCTTTATGTAAGAAAAACTGTAATGTAGGTGCTCCTTTAAGTCTGGCTTCTTTGCTTAACATTTCGATGTTCTTCCATTTTGTTTTGTATGATTGTAGTTTCTTTGTTCTTATGGCTTTGTAGTATTTCTCTGTAAATTGAGCACAATTTGTTCAATATGCATCAAACTCCTGTGAACATTCTAGTACATGTTTTAGGATTAAAAAAAAAAATAGCTAGCACTCATTTCTGTTAGGTCTACACCTAAGAATGAAATTTCTGGGCTAAAGGGTATACATCCTGCTCAATATTCAGTATTTTGTGTTTAATTTTAGCCATTCTAATTGTTGTTTTTCATGTGGATTTACATTTGTCTGATGACTGAAATGTTGAACCTTTTTTCATGTTTATCAACTACTTGGTGCACTGTCTTATGTGGGTATCCAGATCTTTTCCCCATGTCTATTGCATAGCTCTCTTTTTCTTTTTACTAGAATGCATTTTATAATCTGCTCTGTGCCTACTGCACAGTCATGAAATATCATGTGATTTTCTTTAAAATGCTTTTTGTTTTACTGTGCTATCATTTAGATTTGCAGTTCATCTGGGATTAACTTTTACATATGGAATGAGGTAGAGGTCCTGTTGACCCAAACATCTTTTACTGAAAAGACCTGTTCTTCCCTATATTGTGTTTCTGTCTTATCATAAATCAGATTATTGTATTTATTTGAATTTGTTTTTAGGCTCTGTATTCTGTTCTATTAGGCAGATTTATTTTGAAGTAATAACAATCTCCTTTAAATTTCCAATTAAATTTATTTATAATAAACTGCCTTAAATTGTTGCCTTTTCAAGATTATAATGTTTTATTACAAGTTTTGCTTGTATAATATCCATAACATCATAACTTTTTGTTTGTGGTGTTTACAGTTTACTTACTTATTAGAATTGTTGTATGGCACCAAACCTATGTGAATATGCTTTATTAGAAAATGGAGCAGTATTTATTCTGCCTTGGTAATGAAATGAGTCTCCCTTTCCCTTCTGGTTTGTTTAAGCTATTTTAAAGTTATAATAATCTTCTTTTGTGGAATGAAAAGTACATTAAGAAAATGTTTACAACATGATAATGAGATATTCTTTTTTCTATATTTAAATGATAATATTGATGAGAAAATAATTGGGAAGAAAATCTCATTGGTTAAAAAAAATTACAAAATTACTGACAATTCTGTGTAATCCTAAATCTTTACCTGTTTTTTACTTCCTGCATAATTTTGCATATGAAAGCATTCCACTTAATTTGTAATCTCATTGATTGAATACTCATAATAAAAGTGTACTAATTTTCTATTGTTAAAAGCTAAAGGAAAATTCTACTAGGCTAGTGAAATGTGGCTTTATAATGTTAATTTAGATGTAGGTTGAATTGAATTTCAACTTCTTTTTCCTTAAAACACCTAATTATTCGCAACTTACTCACTAAACCAAACACTTTATTTTGTGTTGCTTTATACTATTAAAAACAGTGATATTTCATTTTTATGAGAAATATGATAAAGTAAGCAAAGAGTCTAGCATTTGCTTGATCAAACTAGTACAACCTCTATTAAAAGTTATGAGAGAGAAATCATCTTTTGTTATACCATCATGAACCCCCCTTTGATGGATACACTTTGAGAAGTTTGTGGGGTTTTTTTCCCCCCCTACAGCCTTGGAATTTACTCATCATTATAAAATTTTCTATTCTGGCAAAATTACTGCTAAAAAAATATTTTTTTTCCTAAATTAGAATGAAACATCAAATTTTAAAGGCTATCATGTAACTTGTTCTCTAATTTACTGAAATAGTACCAGTTTGTAAAAGCAGCAAAATAACCATTCATAGTGGATGTAACTCTGATACATTTATTTCTGTTTCTTCCTATATTTTGTCAGGTGGATGACAATATTCCACTTAGGGTAATGCTGCTTCTCATGGATGAAGTATTCGACTTAAAAGAGAGAAATCAGTGGTTGCGAAGAAATATCAAAAACTTACTTCAGCAGCTTATTAGAGCTACATATGGTGATACTATAAATAGGTACATCCCTCCCATACCTTTGGAGCTTGATCTTATTTATTACTTATCTTTTAAACTTTCACTTTTAGAAATAGATTTCTCAACCTTCATGGCAGAATATCTTCTCTGGGCCTTTAAGAAGATAATTAAAGCAGTCTGTTGCTCTCAGAGATATTTATACCCAGATTAGTGTGCATGCTTTATAAAAGTTGTATTTATTTTATTCACCTTTTAAAATTTTAAGTATATTCATTTAAATTTATTTGCTTTCAGAAAAATAGTTGACCATGTTGATTGGATGACCTCACCTGAACAAGTAGCTGACTCAGTGAAACGTTTCAGGTATATCTTAAGACACGGTCACTTCTTTCAGGTAGTACAGAGTTTAGCATTATTATCACTAATTTTTACTACTTTTATTTCTTCCCGGGCCATAAAGTTGGTTTCTGCTCATCATTGGTGAACATAAAGAATTGTAAGCATTGTAAGAAACATTTGTCTCATGAAACTATTCGTCTTTGTATTATTAAAAAGAGAATAGAAAGAATATAAAGAAAAAAATGAGATGATTGGCTATATTTTATCAGTACTATAACTTTAAGATAATCAATATTTGTATAGAGATTGCAATATAATAAAATACTAGTTTTAGAGATTAGTTTTTTTTCAGTTATATTTACTAACCTTGATTTTAAGTGAAACTTCCTAAGAGAGTATCTATCTCTGGCCATGGTCTAATTTTTAATTACATATTTGAGCTTTTGAGGATAATACAAATTAAACAGCTTTGACACATTAATTTCTGGGTTCATATACAAAAATATATGGAGTTCCTCCCCTGTGCCAATCATTGAGGAGTGAGAGATAAGATGAGAAAATTAAAGATTAAGAGAAGTAGTGTGCCAAAGGCACATATGATAGAAAATGAGAGATCTGGCTTTTTTACGGTTTCTCCCCTTTGTACCAGAAATTGGAATATCTGCCCTGGCATGTTCATTTTGTTTCAGGGTAGAAAAATGATGTTTCTCTGTAGCATTGATTTCTAGCTTTGGCTGTATGTTGGAAACACCCAGAGAGCTTTAACATGCACCAATGCTTGAAGGGCTGGCTGTCTTAAATAACCAAGTGGAAGGCCTGGACATTTCAGATTTTTTAAAGCTCCCAGGATTTCTAATGCAGGGATTGTTTGGGGAAGTTTCTCTCTCTCAGATCAATTCTGGATAGAGCAAGTTTCTCTTGCTTAGTTCCTGCCTTTGGACCAAACATTAGGAAATGGGAATCAAATATAATGTGAAAGTCAAGGTGAATGGGTTATTGTATGTGTGATAGGACTACTATACTCAATCCAGTTATAAGTTGTGGGCATGGGATGTAGTTTTATGTTGAATTAGTTATAAGGAAAATGGAGTAGCCCAACTGAGAATAGCTGTTAAACTCTAAGGTATCCAAATTTAAGATCTCATAAGTTTGGGGATGAATTGTTCAGTCAGCAGGTGCTCACTTTTTTTTTTTCAAAATTTTAAATTCTAATTACTTATACATGATGGTAGAATGCATTTTGACACATCATACATAAGTGGAGTATAACTTCGCATTCTTCTGGTTGTACATGATGTAGAGTTACACAGGTCATATATATGCACATAGGGTAATAATGTCTGATTCATTCTACTATTATTCCTACCCCTTTACCCCCTCTTCTCCCTTTACTCACCTCTATCTAATTTAGAGTGCCTCTGTTCTTCTCCCCACCCCCTTATTGTGAATTAGCATCTGCATATCAGAGAAAACATTTGGCTTTGGTTCTGTGGGATTGGCTTATTTCACTCACAATGATATTCTCCAGTTTCATCTATTTATTGGTAGATGCTATAATTTCATTGTTCTTTAAGGCCGAGTAATATTCCATTATATGTATGTATGTGTGTGTGTGTATATATATATATATATCACAATTTCTTTATCTATTCATCTGTTAAAGGGCAACTAGGTTGGTTCCATAGTGTAGCTATTATGAGTTGAGCTGCTATAAACATTAATATGGCTGTGTCACTGTAGAATGCTGATTTTAAGTCCTTTGGGTATAAACCTAGGGTAGGATAACTAGGTCAAATGGTGGTAGTGTTTCAAGTTTTCTAAGGAATCTCCGTACTGTTTTCCATAGTGGTTGCACCAATTTTCAGTCTCACCAGAGGTTCTGACTTTTGAGTTTAAATGTTTGGTTATGTTTGTGTATTCCATTTTGTTGTCTTTGTGTTTATGAGCTACCAAAGGGCAGAATATATCTGCCATTTTTCTTTGTATATCCTCTTACACCTAAAATTAAATCTTATACTTAGTTGTTTTTTGTTGAATATCATTATAACTATATAAATTTTCAGAAATGTTTTATCTTTCCATTCACATTTGTGTTTTCTATAGAAATTTGAAATAATTTCATTAACTTATGTCATTAGAAATGAAAATATTTACAGAGATTTTTAATCTTCTCTAACAGAGATGCATTTTGGCCAAATGGCATTTTAGCAGAGTCTGTTCCATGCAGAGATAAAGCTATTCGAATGAGAACAAGAATTGCAGGAAAAACTAAATTATTTGCAATTATGCCAGGTGAGTGAGCATGTAATTTGTAGTTCTGAATTTTTAGAATTTATCATGCTAGATTAGCTATTTCATTTTATTATAATAACTACTATCTTAATGGTTTACTATATAATTGTGCTAGGTATTTCTTATATATTCTTAATTAACCAACAGTCCTGTAAAACAAAACACTATTAATATCATTGCTTTATATGTATGGAAACAGTGCTCAGAGAGGTTAAATAATCTACCAAAGATTTCTAACTCCTAAGTGACATAACTGACTCATCTTTGAGTGAATTGAAAGTGTGTGCTTTTAACCACTTCACTCTGCTGCATTAAAACATTTTGGTCATTAAATCATTAAATATGTGATGGATGAATGGCCTAATAAAAGAATATGAAATGGGGATTTTTAAGAAAAAAAAATTTTTGTTCCACATAGAAACAACTGATTGGTCTATTATTAATCTTCAGTGATTTAAATTTTAATCCCAAAGGGGAATACTTAGTAACTCTAATTTGAGTTACTTGCTTAGGATATGGCTGACTCTCTTAGAAGAATGTGTTTCATTTGTCTTCTTATAAGAGAGAGGCTGTATGTATAATATGAAAATTGGTTTTGTATGGCTAGAAAGAGGTTTTGTCCCTTATTTTTTTATAAATATCTTTAAAAATGCCTAGATAACTTTTCTCTGTATTTTAATTATGGATGTAGAAAATGGACAAGACATATTTATAAATTCTTTACTATCATACAGTACCAATTTCTGTGCTTATAAAACTTTAAGCTTTCTCCTATGTCAATTAAATTAGAAATTTGCCACATAACTTCATTCTTACATATACTATTGCACTTGGTGGTGTTAAAGCAAAGGAATAACATTTTAGAAAAACAAACAGTAACTTTTAGAATATTTTTCCATATTTTATATTTGTGCATATAGTTGTACTTAATGGTAGGACTTGTTGCATATTCATATGTTCACACAATATAATTGTATAGGATATTTCATATACTTTTATGATAACCAGATTGTGCTACAGACAGATTTAATTGTACAACTGGAAGGAATCTTAATTCACTTATTTAGTAAATATTTATTGAAAGTGTATCATACCAGGCACTGTTCTTTGCATATAGCATTGCTTTCTTGAAGCTTACATTCTCTTAGGAAGATACCCCCAAAACAAATAATTAAGTATAGTATAATAGTGGTAAATACTAAGAAGAAAAGTAATGCAGGGAAGGGGCATGAGTAATGTCAGGTGCATTACCTTTGTAGATAGAATGACCAAGAGAGGAGGCCTCACTGAGATGACATGGGTATGAAGATCAAAGTGAAGGTAGAGAGAAAAGTATATGATTATGTGTTTACATAATCTGTTGCCTGCTTTTTAGTAAACTTGCAGCATATTTGCTTTAAACTATATTATACTCCTGGGTAAGTACAGGTCTTTTGGAAGTTTCAGGTTCCTTTCTCAAGGAACAAAAAATAATATTTATGCTTGGGGCTCTGATTATGAATAATTCTAGAATAATCATATATGTTGTTCCTGTACTCCACTATCTCTGTAACTTCATTGAGTGAATTCCGAACTTGCTTGTCATACCATCTTTACTTTTCCATTCTCTTCTCTACTTTTCTCTTACAGGAATTCTAAAATTCAGCATGACTTTTCTAACCCCAGTTTTTGAATATGATTGTTTTTACACTTACTATTCATTTGTTCATTGATGTTTTTTCCACCAAGGCTAATTCTTCATCTCTTTATATGTATCAAAATTGTGCCCAAGTAGCAAAGTCTACTAATTTTCATTTCCATAAAGACACACTTTCCTTATTATCTCACAATAAATATCTTTATACTTTTAATATTTTTGTGGCACTATTCCTGTGCTACAGTTGTTTTTTTTTTTTTGAGATCATGGATTAGTGGGGGTTTTTCCTTGTGTACTGGATTAGTTTGTTAACTTAGAGCGTTTCTGATTGCTCATTAGATATAGTAAGAATGTTTGTGTACTGTTATAGAATTTACAGATGACAGCTTATAAGGATATTGGCTATTAGAAATCCCCACTTAATAAATGAGGAAACAGAGAAAGGATATCACATGGGTATTACAGGACAGGATTGCAACTGTAATTTGCACTCTTTTGAGTTTACATCCTTACTCTTCCTGTGCCATATTGTTTCCCAGTATCTACTGTATAAGTGGATGGTAAGTGCATGCATGCAGACATGCATAATTTTAAGTCTCAGTTATAAAACAGCTGAAATGCATTAACTGGATGCATGCTATTTATCAGTTACTCTATTGTGTGCTTTACATACTTCATTTAAGATCATAACTTAAGCCTTGTTTGCCTTATGAATGAATTCTGTGTATTTTTCCCTTCTTGATTTAGATGAACTGAAGCACATTATTGGAGCTGAGACAACACGGAAAGGCATTCTTCGTGTTTTTGAAATGTTTCAGCACAACCAGCTAAATAGGAGAATGGTTTATGTCTTCTTGGAAGGCTTTTTAGAAACCTTATTTCCACAGTATAAATTCCGTGAACTTTTCAACAAACTGCATTCACGGTCAAAGCAGATGCAGAAATATAAACAGAAACTTCAAACTACTCAAGCGCCTTCTTTACAAAAAAGGTGACACTCCAGTCTATGAAGCTGGTGTTCATTTTGTCCAGAACTAATGGTATGGACAGATCTTCTGGGGCTTAACTCATAAACTGTTGTGTCTGCACCAGTCTTTTAGTGTCTCAAAATAGAATATTAATACATCCATAAGACTCTGGTTCTTCTCATTCTCATCTATAATCCAGCCACTACCACGAGAGATTTCTGTGTCTTAAATGATTTGGTGCATAATTTGCAACTTTGAGAGGATACTGCCCTCATCTCATGCAAGAATGACATTGGTCTCTTCCGTTTCAAACTAATCAGCATTCTCCAGCAATGACAAAGTGCCAGAGTGTATATATGAGAGCTAAGGAAAGCACAAAACAGTGGTTCACAGATAAACTAATTTGTTTTAATAGTTGGAGACTGTGCAATGTATGATTTGGATAATGATTTTGTAGGTCCTTGTCATCATTTTAGGTAAGTGTGGACTTGCCAGGTGAATGATCTTTAGAATATGTGTTTCAGATATGGGAAAAGTGACAGAATGCCCTTACAGAATGAAATAACCTTATTCCCAAATTACAGTTTTGTAACATTAAAGAAAACAGTATAAAATGAAACCAACTAGAAATAGAATTTGGTTGGATTTTATCATTCATTGGTATAAAACAAATTTTAATTGATTCATTTTTGCTTTAAGGGCTTTGTTTTGCTCTATGGTTCTCAGTTGTTAAGTTTTTTTGGCGTTCTGTGTGGAAAAAGAAGCATGTGGTAGCTCTCACTTAAGTTTCAAAATTATTAGTTTTTAACAGATTACTGATTATACAGAAGGGGAATAATTTGTTGGAGGAACTGCCAAATACATTCTGTCCTTCTAAAAATTTGGAAATTAAAAGAAAACAGTACTCTATTGAAAGTTACCATATGATAATTTTAAAATTGCGTGATCTAGACATGCCTTAGGCAACTACAAAAATAGCAAATCAGAAGATTAATGAGTGTATTAGACATATGTAAACATACAAATTCCTAATTCTATTATGTGTATATATGAAAATAAATAATGAAAACAGAACTCTACTATTTTTTAAAATATGCTTTTATTTATATTTCGCATAATGTAAACTTCTAAATAAAGCTAGTAGGCAAAACCCCTTGGTGTATACATTGAAGTCCCTAAAATAATTTTATACCAACAAATACTTTTTTCAGTTTTGAAGCCTCTACTTTTCCTAGCTTCCTCACTCTGTTTTGTCCATCTCTAAAGTCTTCATATCCCCTGTGTGCAGGATTTCTGCATAATTTTAAATACTTCATTGACTAAAGGTTTGGATGTGTCAGCTTTTTTTGTTTTAAAAATCTTTAACACTAAAACCTTAAAATAGTGAAGCTACTTATCAGACCACTGAGCCAGGATTAAAAGAATGACCGGGTGCTTAAGATAAAGGGACAGCATTGGTATCCCAGTTATTTGGGAGCTTTAAGATTGGAACAAGATATTAGTGTCTTGTTTTCACTTAGACCCTACTTATAAAGTGAAGCCTATTAATGGGATAAATCCTTCCTTTAAAGCTTTATAATAATCATATTTATTAATGATGCTGTGTGCGTACTTGCAGTGTACACATGCTCAGCATGTGTTGCATGTCTTCAGAATTACATAAATGAAATCCCTTTCATTGCAACTTGCAAGTGTAAAAAGATGCTCAATGGCTGTGATGGAAGAATTATTTCTTCTACTTAGTCTGTCTCCCTGTTCCAGCCTCTCCCCTCACCCCAGGCTGTTTAAGTGGGATATGTGAAACCCATCTGTGGAAAGCATCAGCATGGCCATAAGTGCAATGATTTTCATACATACCCCTGCCCATTTCAAGTATATTTTTGACATGAATAAATTAAGTGTATACAGAAGAATTCATGTAAGAGCCTAGTGTGTACATGTGGAAAAAAAAAAAGTCTCTATATAATGTGAGGAACACTGACCATCAACCAGGGAAAGAAAGGTCATGTAGGATAGCAAATTTTCCTAACCGAGCCCTGCAAGTTAACTGCAATCATACCAAAAACTATTTGAGTAAATGGGTTTTTAAAGTAAATTTTGTTTAAAAGAGTTTATATTTCAAAAGCAGAAATGTCAAATGGTAGTCTATAAACGGTGGTGCATCTTCTCTATGCACATCTGTGTTTTACATCAGAGAGAGCCGTGGTCATGCTAAAATTAGAGATACTTTTTAAATGACTTGGTCAAGCTGTGTGTAAAATATTTAACTCATGAGTCAAGTACAGTGTACTATGTTTAATAAAGTTGTTACATTGAATGCATTTATTGCATATATGGATATATACATGAAAAGGCGTTATGTCCTCTGATATTTGATTTTTGAATGTGTTTTTAAGTCAGTGGTGCCTTTAGGCAATGAACCTTCAAAATTAATCACTCTTTGTTTGGGTTTTCTGATTTTTCAGGTAACATGTAAACTACTTAGAAACCATCATAGTTTATTCACCTAAAAATTTGATTGTATGATTTAAACATAGCACTTAGATGAGCATTTCCTATAATTAGGGTGTTCTAAATAGTTGCTGAAAACAATTGTGCCATTGACCAATGGATGCACTTGGCTAGCCTTAATTTTTTTTAAAAAAAGAAACATTAAAAACTTTCCTGAGTATTTCAGTTTGCTCATTTTAAGTTTGTGCAGCTGGTGTTTGAAAAAAAATCATACAGTTAAGTGCTACCAGAAAGTGTACCAATTTTTTTAAAAATTAAGAACAATATAAATTTCACATCTAAAATTTTAATTTTGTGCAATATTTTCATTTTATGCATGTGTATTTGAGTAATTGTAAAATAAATGAATTTTTAATGTTTTGAGATGTAGTTTAAACTGTCTTCTTAATCCAACAACTTACATTCCGTTGTTGCTGCATCCTCTTATTTAAGGACTTGTTTTAAAAGTCTTTTTGTCACTCCTTGTAAAATTCTTTTATAATTGACAAATATTGCTCATAGGAGCATGGCTCCTGTATTACAAGGGAAAATATAAAGAGCACATTTAAGGATTACAATTGTTAAAAGATACCTTGTGCATATCATTGTACAGTAAGTGTCAACTGTGTGCCTAACTGTTCTATCAATACTTTCCTTCTTATCAAAGAAGAAACAATCAGAATGTCAGTTATTTTTATTACCTAAAGAGAAGATGAAAAAATTTATTTGGTTTGCCTTATGTTCTGTCCATTAGGAAATACTAATAAAGTATTAACAAACATTTTTGTTGAATTTATTTAGTAATATAATTTGTACTTTAAAAACTTGCTCAATAGTCTTATTTCTAATATCTATATGTATTATATTTTTATTTTAGAAATTAAGCAAGTAAGATTCCAAGGTGATAGATAACCTATTGAGTGATTGGTTACTTAAGTCATCCAAAGTTAATTTTTCCTTTTATGGAACAAATAACTTACTATCACAACATTAAAAAAATCTTCATACTGCCCTATCATATAAAAGTATAAAATTATTTTCCCACAGACAAAAATATACTTAGTAATTTATTAACAATTTATAATTGTCATTTCAAATTCATATTTTTGGCTAATATTTTAGACAATTCTATTATTCTAAAAGATATTAGCTTTAGTACTCAGCAATGTGTTTATACCTGGTTGGTCATAATATTTGTAGCTTTTGTGGAGTTGTTATATTTATGGACTGCTTATGCATCAGATATGATAATTGCTACTTCACCAAGGACTGATATAACATTTTTTAAAATGATAGTATAAGTCCCTTTAAGATATTCCTGAGGACTGGGGATACATCTCATTGGTAGAGTGCTTGCGTAGCATGCAAGAGACACTGGATTCAGTCCTCCAGACTGCCCCCCACCAAAAAAAAGAAAAAAAAAAGGAAAATGTTTTATACTTTTATGTAAGAACTACCTAAAACCCCATAATGTTTCTACACAATTCAAATGATTATATCAAAGAAATTTTATGAGAGATCTCTTTAATGTTGCTTGCCTCATTTTTCAAACTTTAGTAACCACAGAATCTTTTAACATAAACAGCCCCAGGGATATAGTTTGAAAAAAAAAATTATTGGGGGAGTGAAACAAAACAAGAAGGAATTCTAGTCTCTTTTTAGTTAAGGAACATAAAAAGACTGAAAAAAATGTATTTGTAAACATGATTTTTTTTTAAACCTGCTATTTCTCCCCAAAGTTTAACTTTGGGGAGAAAAAGGTAGAACATAGAAAGTTAACAATTAATTATATAGCAGATATTAGAATGTAACTTGGCTGGGAGTAACAGAATAATGAACTCAGTGAGGGATCATAGAATGCATCTCATGAGAAGTGGAAAGATTTTGCTGGTAATGATCCAGAGTAGTAACTAGAAAATGCAAGGGGAAGAGAGAAATGTCATAGTGTTCATAGCACTGAGCATATATAGTCATAGTCATAGCTGAGATTTATTGCAGTAAAAGGATATAGAACTAGATCAAAGGGATAAAGCTTCTGGGACAAAGTTTGGAAGAAACCAGGCTCAAAGCTTCCAGTGGTTCTTTATCTTATGAAAAAATGTTGCCATCTAGAGAAACTCATTTGAGAGTTTATGCGTATTTTTTTTATTTGGAAGCAAGTCATGTAAGTACCTTCTGCCTGGCACTTACCAAAATTCCAGATTCAAAAGAAAAGTGTATGTTTGGTATAAACCATGTTTTTGTGTGTGGTTAGACTTAGCCACTTCATCAGTTTGGGGAACTGATAGGAAAACTGCTAAACCCTGAGTTCTCAAAAACCTGAGAACAAGGGTGAACATATTTGGCAGACCTCCTTTCAGACAGCTATGTTAACTCTTCTGCACACCGAACACCTTGATCCAAAGAAATGGCTGATGGGAAGTGATTAGTTGTACTGAACTGAAGATTTAGTCTTTTGATGATGCCTCCACACCTAGAAGTGAAAACATGGCAGAAAAAATTTAGATGTAGATAAAAGGAAACATACTTAAATGATACTGGTATAGATGTAGCAATCCGAGAAAATGGCGAAATAGTGTATTTTTCAATAAATTACCATAGTAAACAGTTACATAGCACTTAATAGTCACAACAACCTTTTGAAGTATAGATACTAATTTATCTTCTCCAGTTTATAGATGGCAAAACAAAAGCATAATATGGTAAGCTGTCCAGAGCTTCAGAACTGGTAAGTGCTCAAGTTGAACTGAACCCAGGTGGTCTGGCTCTTGAATCTAAGCCATGGTTTCTCAACAGTGACACTGTTTGGGACCACATAATTCTTTATTGTGGGAGCTTTCCTTTGTGTTATAGGATGTTTAGCAGCATCCCTGGGCTCTGCCTGTTGGGTGATACCAGTAGCATTCCTCCTTCTCCCTCCTTTATGACAATCAAAAATATCTTTAGAAATTGCCAAAACAATGTCTGGTAAGGATTTCAAATAGAGAGAAAATTGCTACCAATTGAAAACCGCTGACCAAATCTCCGTCACATAATTAAGATAAAATAGGGACTGAAGATTTCAACTCTGACTCTTTTTTTCTTAAGTAAACATCTGACAAACCTGTAGCTTGCCTGGTAATAAAAATGTAAATGTCCCTTCCTTCTGGTTTAAACTTGAGTTGTGGGCCCTGGAAGTTAGCAAAACCAAGTATTTTGCCTTGACTTCATTTAATGAAGCATTTCATGGCTAGAGGAGGTTAAGTGGGTGGGATTTCCCATCCTGCAATAAACCAAGAAAAAGGGATTTTCAAGATGTTTGAAGATGAAAGGTGAATGATTGTGTGAGAATATTGTTTTATTCTCTGACCAGGTTAATTGTTAACTTAATAACATAAGTACTATTAACTTAGCAACATTTATACTCATGAAATTTATTTTTTTTCAAATAACTGTACTTTTAAAGCCTGAAAATTTTCTCACAGTCTTATTTGAAAATCAACTCTCTTCTTAAATGTTTTTGTCTCTGAGTTTTCCTGTGGAACTTGAACGCTCCATGGGGATGCCCAAGTGACTCAGGTACCAAGGAGATTGTATATGCAATGCACCTTCTCTGCTCTAGGAACACGTCGTGAATCTCATTCGGCAATTAGAACTTTTACCCTTGCTGACTGTTTTCAGCTGCTCCTCCACCTTTTTCTGGGTCTTGGTCAAGTCTGGTTCTGGTTTTAAGTAGCATACAAATACTTTCTAGACTTGTGGAAGCAGTGTTGGGAAGCTGATTTGGGGTATCTGATTGTCTCAAGCAACATTTGTCTGTTTGTCTGCCAGTCTACTGGCATTTCAGACCAACAACTGGTTTCAACATTCATGTTGCAGCCTCCCAGTGTCTGTGGAATCTTCCACGTTTGTCTCACTTAGGCAGTCCTATGACCTCACTAAAAAAAGGTCAAGAAAAAAGTTTTTGCCTGCTAGGAAGAAAGCAGCTCCTTATGATATTTTGTATCTTCCCTCCTGCATCAGATTGGTAAGTTTTGTCCTTACTTTTTTAGCTCATGGATGAAGTTATAAAAGCAAGGTTATTATGTGCAAACTTGTTCATAAGTGGAAAATGTCTTTTTCTCTCCTTGAAGAAGAAAAGTAATTAGCTGTTTACAAATGTTTATAGTTGTAATCCTTGTATTTATACTTGGCACTCACCCAATTTATTCTAGGAATTAGGCATACAAAAAGGTCATTTATATGGACTACTTAAGAGAATTAGTTCAAAAACAGATTAAGCATCAAATAGAAGAGAATGCATGCAGAAGTTTAAGAAAAAATTGAAATTTCACGTGATTTTAAAGGAAAGACCAATATATGAATTTTTTTTTAAATGACATTTACATCAGTGAGAATGTAGTGTGATGGAAAGAGACTGCGATTTGGTGGGAAAGATTACTTTAGGCTCCTCTGGAACTTAATGACTTCCTTAGCAACCTGGAGGATGTTGAGTAGCCGGATTTGTCCCTTCCTCCTTTCCTCTCTTTGTCTCTGTCTCTTTCATTTCAAACTAGACAATGTGGAAAAAGTGTAGTGTTTATATATATATATATATATATACACACACACATATATATATATATATATATATGCATGCAGACATATATACTGAAATAGGAAGAAATTTATCACTAATCTCCTCTGGTGTTCAGTAGGGACCCAAGAGTTGGATAAAATTCTTTTATTGTAGGCGTATGAAATTCTGAAGGTGTTTGTTGAGAGACTTGCATTCCTTTGCTTATCTCTACATAACTTACATACATAAGTTAGATTTTAAAGTCTCTCAAATTAATGGAGCTCCTGTTTAGTTGACATAAACAGATTAAACAGGAATTATAAGAGAACCAAAATTTCAGAAAGGAAGTTCAAACAAAAAGCTCTTTGGATAAGTTTTCTGGCCCAAGTATTTAAGGAAAACCTGGTAAAGAAAAAAAGCCATGATTTAAAATAATTGCCTTGATTGCTAGGTATAAAAAAACAAAGATAAACATAAAGGATTTTCAGCCTCTACTGCCATAGTGTTTGTTGCAAAGACTTCAGCTGTCTGCCAGTGACTACTTTCTGGGTTCTTGTCTCACAGATTCAAAGAATGAAATCCATGGACAAGGAAGAGTGGGCCTAAAAGAGTAGGATTTATTCAAATGAGAAGGAGAGAGAATGGCTTCTTCAGGGCCAGAGGGGACCTAAGAGGGGTTACTGATGAAGTGTACTATTCTAGGGTCTTGTATAGGGGCAGATATTGATCAATATCTATGTTAATCAGGTATTGGAGAAGTACCAAGGCTATTGGTCCAAATCTATGCTAATCAAGTATTGGAGGTGTTAAGACTACTGGTCAGCACTTGAGTCTGTAGCCTTCACTCAGGTGTGTCCAACCTCCCTTTTTCCACTGCCTCTGTAACAAGAAGTTGGCTGGAACATATGGAATGTTTTTACAGGTTAATTTCACAGAATAACCTGTTCATTTAAAATCTCTCTCCCTCTGTGTCTGTCTGTCTGTGTCTCTCTCTCTCTCTCTCTCTCTCTCTCTCTTTCTCTCTCTCTCTCTCTCTCTCGGTGGAGGTGGGGGAGAACAGTACATTTCCTTAACTGTCTATCTGTTTTACTTCTGTGTAGCCTATCTTATTCAATGTGTTACCAAACAACCATAAGAACGATTTAAACACCATCAGTATTTTTAAGTATGTAGTTTTTTTTAATATAATTTGATACGTAAATGTAGAAAAAGTTTAGGCAGTATTACTAAACAAAGGGAATACT